CAGGGGTGAACCACTTTTGAGACGCACCCGGTACATTATATATCTAATATATATATCTAATTATCGTCCGATTTCACTGCTTCCTGTTTTTTCAAAAATCATTGAGAAATGTATGGCCTCAAGAATGGCGTTATTCCTTGAAGAGAATTTATTGTTGAACGACCAACAGTTCGGCTTCAGGTCCGGACCATAGACAAACTAACAAAAGCAAGACTTTTCAAAGGATTGAGGAAGTCGAATTATTGTTTTTGCGCTGGCCAGTTGAGTCAGAAATCATCGCGCAGTCGCACTCGTCAAACCTAACCTAAATAAAACGAAAAACGTTTTTGCCTTGAACGAACTGTTGAATTCCTGATTTTGCATTTTGTTTGGTTATTACTATTATTTTATTAGCGTACAAAACGAAAACAAATAATTTAATACATTTTACATTTATGAAGAACATAATAATTACTGTGATTATACATATTATTGTGATTACATCGCTAACGTAGACAAAACGAAGGTCCTACAAATTGACTGTAAGTTATAAGAATCTCTATCTTTTTAATCTTTTTATGATTTGAATTTTCGTGCTTTATATTTTATAATAGACTCGAAATGTTAATATTTTTGCAAATTCTTGTGAAAATGTGAAGTTTATGTTTTTGTTTTATATTTGAAAAAGTTGTATATTTTTAAGATGTTTCTTGTTGTTCCTATTATTAATATTATAATATACATAATTATTTTTTTGTACCTTTTGAAGAATAATGCTTTTATTTCGTTTACCATAACTGTTGTTTTTTATCATCTTTTTGTTATTTTAATAAGAGGAATACGTTTTCGTTTATTTAACTTTTGTTTTTATATCTGTTATATCCAGAAATTATTGTTTATTTTACCGATGGAAATAAATTTATTTGATTTATCTGAAAAAGTAAAAAAGTTACAGGGTGAACCACTTTTTGAGCCGCACCCGGTATATTATATATCTAATATATATCTAATTATCGTCCGATTTCACTGCTTCCTGTTTTCAAAAATCATTGAGAAATGTATGGCCTCAAGAATGGCGTTATTCCTTGAAGAGAATTTATTGCTGAACGACCAACAGTTCGCCTATCAGGTCCGGACGCAGCACTGTGCTGGCTGTTCTGGACCTCGTGTCATTCATCTTGGATGGCTTTGAGGGTAGGGAACATGTTGGCGCGGTATTTTGCGATTTAAGCAAAGCCTTCGATTGTGTCTCACGAGTTGCTCATTAAAAACTCGACTATTATAAATTTATGAGGGTAGTGTTGCCCTTTTGAAATCCTACATGGAGGACAGAATACAGAGAGTGGTCGTTGATGGTGTGTGGTCGAACCCAAGACCTCTTAAAAATGGTGTCCCACAAGGCTCAGTACTGGGCCCTTTACTTTTTTTGATTTATATAAACAACTTACCACATATCCGACGTGACGACCACTACGTTTTATTCGCAGATGATACAGCGGTCTCGGTCAGAGGAAAAGAGCTAAAAGACCTAGAGGGAGGCGCGGATGACGCTCAAGCGAGGGCGGCTGACTGGTTCCGGAAAAATAACCTAGTTTTAAATGAGGCCAAAACAAACCGTGTAATTTTTTCTTTGAGGAGTGTGCCTGAGGACTGTCGCTTCTCCAGGGAATCTGTTCCATTTTTAGGAGTTCAGTTGGACAGTGAAATGCGATGGAATGCTCATATTGAGCAACTGTGCAAGAAGCTAAGAAGCGCGCTCTTCGTTCTGCGTAATTTGTCAGGTACTGTTTTCTGTTGCGTATTGCGGACTGCTCTTTTTCATTCTGTGATGTCCTACGCTGTTTTGGCTTGGGGTCACGCACCTCAGTGGCGCAGGGTTTGCGCGCTTCAGAGGAGAGCTGTGAGAGTTGTCGGAGGATTGGGCTACAGGGATGATTGCAGGGAAACCTTTAAAATGTTAAATATACTTACTCTCCCAAATCTTTATATATTGGAAAATCTATTATATGTTAAAACCAATACGGAAATATATCCCACAAATGCTCAGCACGGTTCTCATGACACTCGTAGGGCGGAGCACCTCAGTATCCCTATACATAGATTAGAAAGGTCTCGAGATGGACCTAGATACTGGGGTGTGAAGTTTTACAAGTTTTACAACTTCCGGATGGGTATAAACTATTGTCCGATAGGGTGTTTAAGGGCAGGGTTCGTGGCTGGTTACTTGAAAATCCACTGTATGACTCGAGGGAGTTTCTTTCAAGTGATATACATATTAATCTCGCTTAATGGAAATTCCTTCTACAACAGAATGTGGGAACTGGAAACTCCCACCCTATGTTTATATTACAATGTATTAACTAGAGTATATAATTGTCATTGTGTACCCATCTAATATGATGGTCTTAACTTTATGTCTTTTGTGTTAATTTTTAAGTTAATTGTGTTTTATATATGTATTTTATTTTATATTTTGACTTATGTACGCCACTATTTGTATGGTATTGACATCAATAAATTATTCTATTCTATTCTATTCTATATTGATTGGCAATAATACGAAAACCTTAAAATTTTCAGTAGGTAGTCATTTCCGGTGAAACAGAAAGTGACCGAAAACAATTGAAACGTCTATCAATCCTAATTTATGTCATGTACTAACATACCTAATTTCGTTTTTTATATGTATGAAAAATAAAAAATCGTAAGGGTGAGCCATTTTTGAGACGCACCCGGTATAGCGGTGCTTGGAATATTTCAATTTATATAAAAAGTGTTTTAATTTTAAAAAATTAAAATATCTAATCTTCTGTAATCTGAGAAAAAAAAAATTAGAGGGGTGGGACTTAGAAAGTGATAATAACGAAGACTGTTTCAACCAAGTTTCAACACAGGTATTCCACCATAATGTACATACAAGCATACAGCCATTACTCGCTGACGAGTATTCGACACGCATCAGAAGATGGTCACGCCAGGCGTTTTCTTTCATGAGCTTTTCTGTGACTGAAAAGACCGATACGTGATGTTATTTGCCTACCGCACTCAAAAAAACCGGACATTCAAAAATCTCATTGCTTTGTTGCCCCTTTACTTTTTGGTTGTAGCTGTTAACTAAGTTTACAATTATTCTCCGTTATGTTATATTGTGAACTGCTTCTTCCCACTCATTTTGCATGTTAATACCCTTTAAGATTTCGTGGAAAATATCCTTGTACCTTTTGAGTTGTCCTCTTTTTACCGTCTACAAGTTCACCGTAAAGCAGAGATTTTGGTATGCGGTTTTCTTGCATTCTGCATACGTGACCAGCCCATCTTAAGCGGGATTTTGTAACCATGACTTCAATACTCTCGCAGTTAGCTTTTTCAAGGACCAATACGTTTAAGACATGATGGAACCACCGGATTCTTAAAAGTTGTCTAAATGCCTGGCCCAAAGCCTCGTATGCCTAGGTATATGTGTTCAACATTTCTTGTAATTGTTGTAACGTGTTTGCAACTAGAGCGCAATCATCTGCGTATTGAAGTTCTGTGATAAATTTTGTACGTGTTTTTGTCCTGAGTCTTTTTATGTTGAACAGACCGCCGTTGTTCCTGTATCTAATGCCCAATCCTCTCTCCTACAGTTTTTACATCGAAGAGAACCTTAAGATGACCAATAAGTTCTTTACTTGCCCACTGCTAATTTGTGGTTTTTAAGCTGTTATACTGAGGTATTGTGTTTAGTGCTTCCATATTGGGGTTGTTATCTTGGTTAAGGATATGACTGTGATGTTCTTTCCAGCGAATTCTGATTTGTTCTTCCTCTTTTAGAAGTTCGCCATTTTGTGCCCATGATTGGGCAGCTTACCTTTTTGGTTGGACCATATACTTCTTTTACAGCTTCGAAGAATTTACGATAATCGTGATGCGTGGCGTACTCTTGAATCTGATTTGCTTTTTGTGACCACCAGTTATCCTTTAGTCGGCGCAGTTCTCTTCGAAGCGTGTTGTTGGCTGCTTTAAAGTTGTCTACCAGCCATGGATTGCAGTGACTGCTTGATGTGCTCTATGCTTTTGTTTCAATAGAGCCTGTTTTTCGTTAAACCAGTCTCGTTGTTTCTTTTTGTTTGACTTTCCCAGTACTGCTTCGCTGGTTTTGTGAATCGCATCCTTTAATTGTGTCCAGCCTTGTTCAGCTTCTAAGATTGAGATTGAAGTAATCGGTAGAAGATAATCTTTGATGGCTTCTCGGAGGGCGTCGGCGGTATTGTTGTTTTCTAGACCCCGTACGTTCAATCTGGTCATATTTTGCTTTTTACTGTGTGGATATTCGGGTTTTAACTGGTTTTTTATTTTTGAAATTAAAAGTCGATGGTCAGTGCCGCATTCGGCATCTATTTTGGCTTTTGTGAGTCTGACATCGTTTAGATGCGTCCTTCGAAAAATTACGTGGTCCAATTGACGCCAGTGGCCTGATCTGGGATGTTTCCAAGTACCTTCCACCAGTACCTTTCTTCCAGGTATTCCACCAGTACTTAAAAAAGCTACAAATACAGCAAAAGCCAGAAAAATGAGAAAATACAAATAAGGAAAATGAAAAGAAGTAATGCAGATAATGACAGACTTTTAAAATCGGTAATGTTAACATTACATGTCTGTAGTTATGTTGTCATTACCACATAACTGCATAAACATGTCAAAATTCGCAATATTTTGACTTGTCATTTTCATTTTAATTTTCACACATTTGAATGAAAGCTGAAGTTAAAGAAGTTCAAAAAGCAAGAGAAATAAGAATAAAGCAAGAGAAGAGTGAAAGAAATGATAATACTACACTTCAAAAAATTCTAAAAATTTCAGTCATATAAATATTGAGTAATTTCAATATTACATGGTTTAACTTGTAGTTTTACCAATTAAACTGCCTCATTATAAAATTAAAGCATTTTAATTATACATTTTTCAATTAATGAAATTAATGAAATAAATTATTTAAACATATTTCTTTTCTTATAATAGGCAGTTATCTGATTACTTACCCTTTGAAGTAGCAGACTGAAAAACACCAGGAAGTAGAGTCTCATTGCTTCACGAATAATTGAAATAAATCCTGCAACGAAATTACGGTAATTAATATAAATTCTCACATACCTACTTGTCGTAATAACACACCATAACATACAATTAAACGATATAAACAAACAGTTATATGGTATTTAATAGGCAGGCAACATTTTGAGGTGTCAATTGAATGAATAAGTAATAGTAGCTTTTATTTATTGATGCGTACGATAGAGGTGCACATTATTTGTAAAACGTGCCAGTTATTTTAATTATCTTCTATAAAAACTCTAAAATAAGATTATTCTTTCTCTGTATTTAATCTATCTCGGAAAATGTATAATTATTTTTTTTTTACATTTTTTACTCATGCATAATTTTATATAAATTAAGCCTCATTTCATTTTAAGGTTCACTATATACTCAGATGCAAAAAAATGAAGGGAGAAATTTTTTGTCAAATTTAAAGTGTTACATGTTTGTTATTTTTAACTCTATCTTCATGAATTTTTTAACAAGCTGTATATAATTATATCAACTTTAATTCGTATACTCAGCTTTTTATAAACTTTAGTATCTGACATATTATACAGGGTTAATCAAGGGGTTGTTTTTTACAATAACTTTAAAACACCCTGTGTAATAATTTCGTCTGTAAATTTTCCTAAAATATAATTTTACGGGCAGAACCATGACACCTGAGCATTTAGTTTTTTGATTCATGTCAATACATGCTTTGGTTAATTTTTAAGAGCGAAATGAGCTGATTACGATCAATTTGCAATTTTTTTAATTATTACTTTTTGATGTAATTTTTTAATATGACGAGATGGTTTTGGTGACTATTGTCGTAACGTCATATTACACTGCATTGGATACTCTATACTAAATTAAAAAAAAACGTTAAACTAACGATAAAATCTGGATTTTAATAATGATAATGATAAGAAAATTTATTGTAATTTGTGTACATAGATTAGATACAAACAACAGAATTATAAAACACTGGAAATACAGCATAACTGATCAAGTTCCAGCCTTGTTTAATGCATTAACATGTAAATAGCAATAATATAAAAAAAAGAAAATATAAAAAACAAATACTGGGTTTGCTTAACAAATAAAAAATTAAAAAAGGAAAAAAAACAACACTTAAAGGAAAGAAACGCTGCTCAAGTATAATTTAACATTGTTGATCTAGAAGGTGTCATTTTAAATGCGATTTAAAACTATGAACTGACAGGTCTCTAAAACATTTATCGATGCCATTATACAGTTTATAGATATTGTACGTAAAGGATCTTTGGAATAATGCTGTTTTATGATAAGGTGGGGAGATGAGCCCTTTATGTTGCAAATTCAAATTATGAACATCTGTTCGAAACTGAACCTTTTCGTATAAATAAGGTGTGGACACTTGTAATTGATTATAGAATGATATAAAGTTAGCGCGTGATATTTTCGTCTAGTTTCCATATTCAACCAGCGAGCCTCATGAAGTTTGTATGATATGCGATCGAATTTACGAATTCCGTATATAAATCGCAGACATTGCTTCTGTACAGTACGTCTGCTGGATCTGTGTCTATGAAAGGAATGCGGACAAAAAACATTTAAATAAACAACAATATATTTTATACGTCGACTTGACGGGTACGTCACCGCAAATCGCTCCGCCCACTCATTTTATTGGCTACTTGCAAATTTGTCGAATTTTTATTGATGGGACGCATCGTGTAATTTTTTACGAAAAACATCGAGAGAATATCGTTTCCCCTCTCACGGATACTCCGTAGCTACAGAACGAATAAACGTACTGTACACGCTGAATCTTAGCAGCATCAGCAGCATCCAGATAAGGCCCGTAAAGAACATCGCAGTAGTTAAAATGACTGAGGACTAACGCATCGGTGAGTTTCCTCTTAAGTGACTTATTCAGTACATGACGATGAGAGTAAAGCATTTTCAAATTCAAGTAAGCCTTCCGAAGAACCCTTGTCACATACTTCTTAAATCTCAACTCGACATCAAACTCCACTCCCAAATTTCTAGCAGTGCGTACAGATGTAATTTCGACGCCATTAATTTTAATTTTCAATGAGCTCTCAACTGCCTCGCGAAAGGCAGACGAAAGACCATGACGAAAGATTTACTGGGATTTATAACTAAATCATGTTTATAGGATATCTCAACCAAACTGGAAATTTCTTAATTAATTATTTATTAGCCCTGTCAACATCGCTTGAGAAAAATGAGAAGCTGAGCTGAGTATCATCCGCATATAAATATGACGCACAATGCCCCAATCGTGATGCAATTTTTGCAGTGTAAATGCTAAACAATAACGGACCCAGTATAGTTCCCTGCGGCCCTGGATTTTAATAGACATTATTAACGATAAGAGAACTAACGATATTAAAGAAAACAACTAGAATATTGAAGCATACAAACAGAAAAAAAAATGTAAAAATACCCTAATACTTTGTATTGCCTCCCCTATCTGCTATAACTGCCTGTATACGTCCGTTTATACTGTCATTGGGGCTGCATAGAGGTGGGAATTCTAGTTCCTTGGGAGGAACTAGTTCCTTAGTTCTAGTTCATCGAGAGGAATTGTTCCTTGAACTAGGTCTTTAGTTCACAATAGTTTTCGACTAACATTGACATCCCCCTTGCTTGCTAATGCGTTTCGTTGTCAGTCAGAACTATCCACAGTATGATCTGTATAATTTTCATAATGTACGGAGATATAACGAGACCTGTAAATGTGTATGTTAAAAACATATAAGTAAGTTTTATTGCAGATAAAAAAAATAAAAAAGAAACTCAAATCAGAGTTTAAAAAACTATAACACAAATCAATTAGAGCAAATATTACAAATATTTTACGAAAAATTGCATTTTCCCTCACTTCAAGCTTTTTGTTTATGTCTAAAAATTCAGAATATCTACTTCGTTTTATAAGATATTTCTTAATTTTAGACCTAAAGTGAAACATTCCCATAAAATATTTAAAAAACAAACTAATAATAAAAAAACAGTATCCACGACAATTTTCTGTGGTAATTACGCCGGCCGTGGCCATCGTCGTCACCTTGTATTATATCTCGGATCTGCCGACTGAATAGATTCCCGTGAACTAGTCTTTTAATTAGTTCCTCTATGTCCGGATCCGATAACATACGGCTGGCACTCCCCACGTCTGCCTAGAATTTTTAGAATTTTAGAATTTAGAATGAGTGGGAGGGGGGTTAATCACTTCGAACTTACAGATCCATTGTGTCCCCCTTTCTTGAATCATAACTCATCATACAGTCCCAGGGCTTTGACAAAAGCCAGTATCTGGGACGGTTTTATAGAGGGTAGTTCTCCATCTCCAATATCAGTCGTACCAAAATTCATGGCACGAATGGTTGTCGTCTCGGCGCACTCAGTGATGAGGTGTACTGGTGTTTCACCATCTTCCCCACAGAATCTGCATTCGCCGTTTCTTCTTAGTTTCAATCTACTGAGGTGTTCATTGAGGAGACAGTGTCCTGTTAAAACCCCGTGACAATCCGAAGATTGTTCTTACTCAGACCCAGGAAGATCTGTGATTTTTCTTGATCATAAGCCCTCAGAAACTTCTTCGAGTGTCTTAGACCATTGCAAGATTTCCATTCCAGGTTGCGGATGGAATCTCCCAAGTTCTTGAGTTCCGCCTTGAGTTGGTTACCACTTGGAAAGCAGAACGGTTCTGGTCCAGTTAGTGGAGTGTCTGCCCTTTCCTAGCTAGATTATTTGCTTTTTCATTGCCTTCTATCCCTTGGTGAGCAGACACCCAGTGTAGGAGGACTTTGTTTTCTTTGCCTAATTTATTCAGCTTCTCTATGCATTCTTTGACCAATTTCGAATTGATTGATACTGAGTTGATCGCCTTTAACGCTGCTTGACTATCAGATAAGATGGCTATTTCTTGTTTCCGATAGTTCCTATTTAAGATAAGTTGTACGCATCTCTCGATAGCGTAGATTTCTGCCTGTAGGATACTAGGGTAAATCGCCTAAAGTAACACGTCTGCCTAGCATCAATCGCGCTGGCTGATCCATACGTAAACTAGTCTTTTATTTAGTTCCTCTAGTTCCTTTAGGTCCGGATCCGATAACATACGGCTGGCACACCCCACTCCTGCCTAGCATCGATCGCGCTGGCTCGATCCGTACGTACGTAAACTAGTCTTTTATTTAGTTCCTCTAGGTCCGGGTTCGATAACGTACGGCTGGCACTCCCCACTCCTGCCTACCATCGGGCTACGCGCGCTGACCGATCCGTCGCCGTCTAGGAACTAGTTCTTTGAGAAACCAGGAACTAGTCCCTTTCATTCCGGGGTCGGAATAGTTCATTGGAACTAGTTCGTTTACAAACTACATACCTCTAAGGCTGCATATATCATATTGCGTATGATTTCCCATTTTTCTTTAAGGACCAAGCAAAGTTCATTTAATGAAGCTGGTACCGCTTCACGACCTCTTACCCTCCTGCCAAGCATTTGCCAACATCTGTCAAACATGATGGGCAGTTTATAGTAGTATATAGTTCATAATAATCACCAAAGCCGCCTTGTCACATTGAAAAATAACTTCAAAAAAGAAATGATAAATGAAAAATTTGCAAATTGTTGGTGGCAAGCTCATTTCGCTCTTAAAAATTAACCAAGGCATGTATTGACATGATCCAAAAAACAAAATGCTGTGGAGACATGGTTCTGATCGTAAAATTATATTTTAGGAACATTTACACAGGAAATTATTGCACAGGGTGTTTTAAAGCTAGGGTAAAAGAACAACCCCTCTATTAACCCTGTATAATATGCCAAATACTAAAGTCTATAAAAAACTGAGTTTACGAATAAAAGGTGATATAATTAAATATACAACTTGCTAAAAAAATCATGAAAATAGGGCTAAAAATAAAAAAAAATATAACATTTTAAATTTGACCAAAAATTTCTCCATTGCGTTTTTTTGCATCTGAGTGTATTATTTTAAGACCAAAGAAAACATGTGTAAA